TAGTTATATAGTAGTTTCTACTCAATTTGAGCACTCAAAGCACTTTCTTCCTACAAGCCTCATTCACCCATTCCCACAAATGCATTTTTCTAACACTCACACACTGGTGGATCCATTGGGGGCAATTCGGGGTTCAGTATCTTATTCAAGGATACTTTGAAATGCAGGTTGGAGGAGCAAGAGACTGAACCACCGACCTTCCAATTAGTAGATAACCTGCTGTATGTAAGTCACAGCCACGCTACAATATAAAATAAATGGATAAAACACAATAAAAGCAAACCTGCACGAGTGTCCGCAGATCATAAGTGCACAGTCTGATTTTTATTCTGAACCTGGACTAAGGTACCACAGACATGATCAGTTGACCTCAGAGACATAGCAGTTAACATATTTATATACAGCTTCACGAATACAGGGAAACATCTGACCTTAAAGATCTCTGAAACGAACTTTAAACTGAACACTCAACTTTACAGGAAGCCGGTGGGAAGAATCGGTGTTACATCCAACCTCAGAGTGGACCTGGCAGGAAGCCTCACTGCAGTATGTGGGAACATTAATAAGTGATTTGCTCAGTTTAAGGATTAATGAATTCCAATAATTTAGGTGTGATGAAATAAAAGCATGTTTGAACTTGTATAACACCAGAAATCTTTCTGAGACACACATTCAGAAACATTTTATAGTATTTTAAATTTGAATTAAGGGTTAAACCCTGTGTGGTTACACCACCTTCTTTTAAAGGAAGTCCAAAAACATAAAGAGAAATTAATAAATATTAGAACAAAAACAAAGCTAATACATAATAGTGACAGCTGACCTGATAGAGCAAAAATAAAAAAAATACACAAATGATGTTCTTTCACATTCACAACAGTCTGGGTCAGTGATCTGGAACAACGCGGCCTTTGAATGAAAGAAAACCTGCTAAGTGGTCTGACTGTCGGATAAACCTGGTGTTTGTGTGATTTTCAAACATTTCCCGTTTATTTCTATATTATATTCTTTAAGCTCTCGGGTGCTCTTTGTGTTTTGCCGTAAAGGTCAGTGGAGCTGCTGCGTGTGGGTTTAGTTTGTAATGGTTACAAGTGTTCTTGTTGCTGTCATTTTCTCGAAATATGTAAAGAAAATTGCCTTGAATTAACTGTTAGCACTGATATATCAAATCTATATCAGAGCAGTACATAGAACATGTAGACTCAGCCACCAGTTTATTGAGTGTACCAAACTACAAATTATTTTAGGTAAAGTGTGACACTGCACTTGCATTCTTCTTGCTTTAAAATCGATGCTTGCAGTCTGGGAACAGGCCTGAAATCATTTGCAGTCAGTTGCAGTCTTCAAAACAACTTACATGTACATGTTGCTGCCACCCACATCTACTTTAACTACCACTCCAGGAATATAACCAGGGTAAAACTAGTTTGCAACCAGTTAAGTCAAGTCGCCTATACACTAAAGAGGCATGTTGCACACAAGCTGCATGCGACCTATATAATCTCATTGCAAGCAGCGGTCGGTCCCCCCATAGGTTGAGAATGCAACACCCACAGCTGGTCACCGTAACTACTTGCATGTGCTCTTGGACCAGCTGAAAAGTACCGCCATGACTAATTGACCAAAAGACACTGGTCACTACTGGTTAACAATCGTCTTGCCTTGCTCGGTGTCTATTTAATGACTGAAATCAGCTCAGGAATCTGAGACAAAGCTCCACACAGCCAAGTATCATCAAGTCAGTCAGGAGGGAATTGTATTTGTCATGTGGCTAATGTTCTGACCTGCTGTTGTGCCACATGCTGTCCAGTTAGATAAGTCACCACCTTTGTGTGAGTTGTTAGAAAAAAAAAAAAAAAAAAGCAAACAGCTTTTCTTTCCAATATTACAATTGCTATACGACTTCGAATAGCAGCACCTTTCTCTGCAAACAACAGCAAAGCTTGTTTACAGAAGCAGAGGAGACCTTACTCTGATCCCATGAGTTCCATCAGAAGATCCGGCTGTGCAGCAAAGAAATAAAACATTAAGCAGCTTCAAATGTTTCTGATCAAAAAAAAAAACAAAAAAAATCAGGAGCAGAAATCACACAACAGACTGAACTTCACAGGCAGACTGACTAAAATCCCCTGTTGTGCTGCATGGTAAATATCTTCCACTCCTGCACCACTTGTTGCTCAGATGCTTTGATTTGGCACAGCCGTTTCCCTTGCTGAACCATCAAATACCTAATTTAAACACCAGAAAGACTGTGTATCTCTCTGCCTTTTTCCTCATCCCCTGCACTGCTTCCGTCTTATATGCTAATGCGTGAACACACAGCGCTTTAGTTATGAATTTACCTTGGCTCTCTTTGGGAACAAATACCAGGCAGAACAAAGCTGAGCATACTTGTCCTAGATGATATAGCTTGATGAAATCTCTGCATGTGTGTGTAAATACATGCAAGTATATCTGTGCAGGAACAAAAGAGGATCAAACAAATGTGCATGGGCGCACATGTATGTTTCTTCTGTTCTTTTTAAGAGCCTCTCTTTGTCCCTGGAGACCCTCCACTCTGCAATCTATCATTCGACATGTTCATTAGCGTAAGTGTGTGTTGGTGTGTGTGCTGTATGTGATTCACCAGGCATCGCTCGCCTGGGAATCAGCATTAAGCGGTGCAGCAGCTCGCCATATGCTGAGATCAGGAAGAAGAGCATCAATTAACAGACTTTTGATCCTTTCTAATAAAGCACAAACACATTGTACAACAAAGGCTGATAGCAACAAATCCCACAATGGGATCTAACAATCAATGGAAGCGTGTAGCTCTGACTCAAACCTAAAAATAGAGTGATCTGATAGCTCTGTGGTATTTAAGACTGAATTTTTTTGTTTTCTGTACACAATATTGATAGACAGCCAAAAGCATGTCAAACTTTATTCAGTGACTTTACTGGAAAAAATGACTGGTCAGTGCTGCCCTGTGTGCACAATAAGCAAGGGTTGTGTCTAGTGGCCAATGTTAACCATCTAATCTGACCATCTCAAAAGAGCGGTGTAGTCTGACCCTAATAATACTCCAGAGAGTACAAAAAGTGAACAAAGCTATGTTGACATCACCCATTGTTTTGTGAAGTCCTGTTATGAAGACTTGAACTGAGTGTTTTTTCTCTTTCAAACAAGCAAAAGATGCGACTATGAAACCGCACACTCATTGGCTAGTGATAAGTCTTTAGCCAATGAGAACACCCAGGATAATCCTCCTTTGTGACTCTTGGATCATAAGTCATACAATTGACTTAATTTTCTTTTCAGTAAAACCCAAATCTAGGTCATAAAGTCATCAGAAAAGTGTTTAGTGAGGTTGCAGAGGGAAAAAGAAAGCCAGGACTGTTTTCCCATGGAGAGGTATACAACTGGAAGTCATTCTGCAACCACAGGAGTTACCCCCTGATGGGCATTAAATAGAATGCAGGTTTGAAACACTTACTTTTTTGGCTTCAGTTTTCAGACCTCAAAGTTACATCCATCTGTTTACTCTCGGTGGACGTTACAGAGGTTTACCTGTGGTTGAATAAAATAGTTTAAGAATAGAAGTCACTGTGCATAAAACATTTAGAAAAATCATTTTAAAAGATGAAACAGAACTAAGGATAAACAGGAGAAAAGTCAGTATGGAATAAGGTGGCAGTTGTGAGCCTTTGGCGAAGAATTTGTCAAATTAATGTTGTGGGTGAGAACCGGTGATGCCAGGATTTATGCTGCCTGCTGATGGACAATATCTTAATCTTTGAAATATTTGTGTTTTTCCTATCCAAAGAGGTGTGGGGGGAATAACAACCTTACTTTCACCTACAAGAAATAAAACAGAATGTCTCAGATTACATAAAAATCTCAAATCACCCCAGAATGTTAGCAATGGAATGCATTCAACATATGGCACCTCTTCTATGTGAATAATAAAGGGATTGAAGTGTGATCAACAGTTGCCAAGGTAACACATGTTTGTTCTCATATGTGATTTGTAACTAAATTTAATAAAAGCGGATGAAATCACAAGGCTGTTTTATTATAGAGCACAGTCTGCTACAGTGGGGACAGAGCCACTTTGAAGTATTTATTATCATTGTTTATTCATCCATCTTTTACAGAGTATGCACACACGCATGTTTGGGATCCAATGTAGTTCTTAAACCACCTCAATTTGGCTGAAACATTCCTGGTGCACAAATAATGGTATTTTAGGAGATTCTTTACTTAAACTGATTAAATGAGCCTACAATTTTTTACAGACTTAATCATCAGTTATATGAATACTGTGATATATAAAGGATGGTATTAATGTTGCTGTTAATATACAAATCTAATACTTAACCTTAATTCAGTGATGATTAAAACATTTATCATGTGCACATGCCCTAAATCCATATGTTAGTTAAAAAACAAAATCATAATAGGTTAAAAATTAAGGAGTACTTATTACCTTCAAATATCATTAAAATGCTATTCCTGGTACATAAATTAAATAAATATTAATTACTAGATTATGGGCACTTTAATGGAACATTTAAAGGAAACCTTACAACTTCATATTATTATTGGAGTGTAACAGATTAGCTTTAAATGACTCAGTTTGAAATAAAATCCATATTTATCATGGGCATGAGGTAGGACCATGATAATACACAAGATAATAAAGAAAGAGAAAACAGGAGGTGCAACACATTTAAAAAGGAAAAAAACCAAACAAAAATGGACAAGGGAAAAAAACTAAATCCCGTTAAGCACACTAGACAAAGGCTACCAAAATAAGAGAGGAAATAATCAAACAAGCGGGACCCCACTGATGAAAACTTTACAGAAAGGGCAGAACAACATGGAAGATATGCAAAACCCAAGAAAAAGAACAGAATTAATACACAAAGGGGAAAATAATTTTGAAATTGGACCCAAGTGTGGAACAGAGTGCGAAGACAACAGAAGTAGTTTTAACAGTTTTATTTTGGTAGTGACAAACACAACATAATAACTTGGCATAGAAACGTGGCAACTTAGAATATATACAGTATACAACTTAGCAGGGTGAGGGGTGAGGCACTAACGAGGTGGACTGAGTCACGGCTGGAAGCGGGTGTGGTAGCAGTTGCAGGTGGAGTTGGAGTAGATTTGATGGGAGAAGGTGTAGCTCCGGGTGAGCTGCGCGGAGTGGAATGGCTGACCTGGGTTCGAGAGATCCACCGAGCAAAAGGTGACAGGAGGGCAGGCAGGTGTAGAGCTGGAAGCTTTCCAAGAGGTGGCGTGTGAAGAGCAGAGAGTATGGACTGGAGTCTGAGAAATGAGCAAAGCCTGAGAGATGAGCCGTGGCGTGACCAGAAAACTGCAGCACAAGAGAACAAGGTGGACTTGAGACAATAGCATAGAGCATCAGAGCCTGTTACTAACATGGGTTAGTTGACAAACTGGCGGTGACATGACAACGCAGGTCTTGGCGGACACAGGTGAATCTGGAACCCAGTGGAAATTTCCAGCAGCTCACCTGGACTGTGACAAAGAATCACACATTTACACAAAGAAAACTAGAAAGTCCACAAAAACTCAAATCACAGGCTAGCATATCCAGGACCATAACAACTTCCTGCAAATCGAAAGCTTCAGTAGAAGGAACATTGGGCTGCTGTACTAGCAGCCAGCCTCAAATGACCATGTTAAGGAAATCCACAGCCACTGGTGTCCAGGAAAACTGTTGGAGACGGCACATTTAATGAAATATGAAGCCTGAGGTTTTGGCCTCATTATCTGAAACTTTGGCCATGTTATAAATACGCATCCAACATCGTTTTAATATATGCACGGCAGAAAATAAAGCATGGCATGTTCCCTTTAAAACAAATCTACTTTTAAGAGAGAATAAACCCACACAGAAACATATGTACAGAGCATCAAAGAATCCATCAGACCTCATACTGTTTTGACTTTAAAGAAGCTCAAATGAAAGTAGCAACATAAAATGATGATCTAATGTCACCGGGCTTCAGCGTCTCATCAAACGGTCACACTCTGAGGCAGAATCTAAATGGCGTTTGGTACTATATAGATATTTTCAACAGTCGACATGGTCTGTGCCGCAGGTGGCAGAATATCCATTCACCTCTCAGGGTGCTTTCTCTGCTCTCATTTCATTTCTCATGGATGAAAGAGAATAAGGGGAAAATGCTACTCACTGGTTCTCACTTTACTCAACAGCACTCTGCACTAGGCTCTGTTTTGTCAAAAGCCAAAATGGCTTCATTGTAATTCAGCAGACATGTTTGAGAAGTAAGGGAGATGACAAGTCTTAAGACACTCAATATTTCTCGCTGCTGTTCATGTGAAGAGTGAAAAGATGAAGATTTTCTGCATAGGTAATAATCGGGAGTTGATGTCTTGGCTCTTCTATGACTTCGAAAATGTGTTTTTGCTGTGCCAGCTGTACATATTTATATATAACTGGTGCAAGAAAAAGACATTCACACACATATTATATACAGCTGTGGTCAAAGGTTTCATCACTCGCATGTCATGGTAATCTGGGGCTATTAAAGATTTATTTGACCTCTTCTTTATTCCAGGGTGTTATCATTGTGCAGCATATATTAACTTCTTTAAAAACTGAAATGGGTGCACATGTTTGAATTCATTTTGGATTTTCCCTAATCTATATAAGGCTAAATGCACTGTTAAAAAAAATTAAAGGAACACTTTCAAAACACATCACATCTCAAAGGGGAAAAAACATGCTGGATATCCATTACTGATATGGACTGGATAACGTGTTGCCATTTTTTGATCAAATTAAAATGTTCAACCTACAGTGGGACAGAATTCAAAGACACCCTGAAAATCAAACTGAAAAAAATGGTTACGGCAACATACTCTAATGAAGGAGAAAACCTTTGGAAAACACAAAGGAAATTATTTTTAGTGATTGAATTGGTATGCTTGGTGATAAATGGCCAACAAATGCAACTGATCAGTTTTCTAATCTATGCTCTATTAGCTAAAATTCCAGGAGTGTAACTTAGACATAAAATCATGTAAACACTTCCAGCATCACCAACTGAATACATGTCAATTCCAATGAGAAGGTGACACACACTTTGTGCCTCGGTAATATTATAGATTGGCTTCATTTTATGGGTTTTTTTAAACTACAACTTAATATGCTGAACTTTAAAAGAAAACACATTCTCCTAGCAGAGGATCTATATCACACTTGTGGGCGCTTCTACCTGATTTTAAACTGAAACTGAACATATGCTGGTCCTGATCAGGGTACGAGTTCAGCATGAGTGGCAACAGTGAGTTAGTCACGTAATAAGAGAGTAAATTCTATGAAAAAAATGGACTTTAAGCCTAAGCTTGGCAGGATATCTGGCACTTTTACCCAGCTGTCCAAGAGATAAGGAACAAAAAGTACAAACTGTACACACAGGACACAGACAGGGATGGGAAAAAGAAAGAAAAATAAAAGGAAACAACAGAAAAGTAATGATCAGTCTTACTAGAATCCATTTGTGAGTCTGATGTTGTAGGCAATTCTGTTTTTGTCTGTTGGTCATTGTTTACGAACGGAGACTTGGGTCACTTGTACAACAGCTTCTAGTGCAGAACAATAAAGGTGAAAAAGTCGGTAATACTGCAGATACATTTTTAACAACAGAGAGAAATTAACTAAATTATCAGATGATAGCCAGTGGTTTTGGCATTGGTCTTCTGCCACTTCTCTTTTATTCTTTAAGCAAACTGTTTACCTGCATGCAACGATTCCTTGCTCAAAGCTGACTGATCAATAGCACTCAGAGTAAAAGCAACAACAAGAAGAAACCAAAAATCTTTTCATTGCTAGCAGATTACAACAGTAGCAATGATCAAAAATAAGATTTCTAAATAAGGTGTATGTGTAGAATTAAGGGACAGCTAGTTGTCACTACTCTCTGTGGCAACTGTATCTGTATCGTAAACATAGGTAAAAACGAATTGGTCGAAACCCACTTTAAAACCACAGCCTGATGGGGGTTTTCTATTGAATAAATAGATAATAATAAATACATAGACATTTTGTCCTGTTATCTTTAGACAGATCCAGGTCAACCATTTTCCTTTGTTTACACTCCTGCGAAGCTAATCTAACAGGCTGCTATGTGTAAGTGACAGTATGCAAATACGACTGAAAGACATTATTTTTGGCTTATATTTAGAATAACATAAGAAACGTAAACTGTTTACCTTTTCAGTAACTATCAGAAATAACCTTGCAAGTTAAAAATTGAAACAAGGAACTAAAGGAACGCAGAAGAAGAAAATCATGAAGCAGTGCTTGTTCATTTTGCACTCTGGTGAAGCCAGTGTTTTCATGAAATGTTGGCACATTGTTGGGGAGTCCACTCACTCGCTGCTTTTCCCCTCAACTCGGGGACTTGGCTCGATATGAGGAGAGTGTTTTTACATAAAAATCAAGATGCCACGATTCTATTAAATTTGAATGAACTTCGGAGAATCCCATGTTGCCTTTAGGAAAAGGAATTCGGTCGAAGTCTTGGAACGAAACAAATGTAGGCCAATCAAATTAAATGTAGATGAAGGAACAAAATAAAACGAGTTTAATGGAAGAGAAAATTAAGTATTTGGCACGACAGAGTTTAAATTATTGAGCTCTCTTTCAGTTCACAACCAGTGGCTTCAGGGTGCTACAGGAAGACCCCAAAAGACACGTCTGGCCTTTCTCTCCAGCATCCTTTTAGTTTTATAGTTCTTAATCTCCTGCAGTGCGTTCCACAGCTTTTACCATTGTGGTTATTTGCTGCATGGAGTGACTCACAAAGTAGTGCCATTAATCATAAAAGTACAGCTCAACCTGACACTCAAGTCTTTTAATTTACTGTTTGGAAGATAAAAGTTTGCAGAAACATTAATATTGTGAAATAAACCCACCGTATAAACAATAGTTTGGTGGTGTATATGAATACAGTTATGCCCATAAATATTTGGACAATGACAAGTTTTTGTAATTATGTTTCTGTATTTCGCCACAGTTTTAATTTAAGAGGGTTAACAAAAGCATTGCACTGACTGTTTAGGACTTTTAAACAGTCCCCCTTTTCAGAGGCTCAAAAATAATTGGACAATTGACTGACAAGCAGTTGCCAAGTGAGGCCTGTTCATTTGTTGTTTTCTAACAAATGAAATCTGGAGTTTAATCCAAGTGTTAAACTTGTATTTGGAAATCTCGACATTGGATCCAAAGAGATGTTGATGCAAGTGAAGGAGGCTATCATTAGGCTGAAAATAAATCCATCAGAGAGACAGCAAAAACATCAGCAGAGGCCAACAACCTTGTGAATTCTTAAAAAGAAAAAATGCACGGGGCACTTCTGCAACATCAAAATATCTGGAAGACCACAGCAGGGTTAGTGCACAATGACAGATTTACATGGTTAACAAAAACAATGTGATAACATCTAACCAAGTATAGGATTGCCTTGAGGAGCCAGGTGTATCATCATCAAGGTCTATAACCAAGAGATGGAAATATTGAGGGATAGGAACAGGAAGACCTGGTCAGGCTGCCAGAAAACATCTAAAAGAGTCTGTACAGTTCTCGGAAAAATATTTGGGACAGACAAAGATTAAGTTGTAGAAGAAAAGAAGAAAAGGAGCAGCTTATGATCTGAAGCATAACACAACATCTGTCAGACATCTGTTATAGATGTGCATGTTATGGGTGCACATGTGCAGAAATGTACATTGGGTATACACTCTGCTCAGATTCACCCAAGTGCTAGAAAACTGATTGGACACCACTTCAAAGTGGAATTGGTTAATTTTGTATAATTTTTCAATTTAGTTTATACACATACATATATGTAAACACATATACATACACATATTATATATGTACACATACATATATAATATGTGTATGTACACACACACACACACACACACACACACACACACACACACACAGACATACCTACATATACAACTTTTTTTAAATTTTTTTTATCCTTGTTAATGTTAGCCACAATGATAAGTCTAATGCAACACCCTCATGACCCATCAGGACAGGGACATGAATTTAGGTGAATAATTCTTCATGTACCCACATTTGGGGATTTTGTTCCCCTCACCACCACCCGGCCCACTACAGCTTCATCTGATAAACACTCAAAGTTTGTGGCACTGGAAGAACTTTGGCATCAAAATTATCTTGTCTGAAAGTCCCCTTGTGGCTTTTTGTTCTGAAGCACAGTTGGAAAAGCATGCCAGGAATGACCCTCAATCCCAGAATGATGATATCATGACAGAACCAACAGCCAAAAGCTGTCACAGCACTGAGTCAGTCAAGTGATATAAAAACAAGCAAAAAAAAGAGAGCGAGAGAAAATCACAGTTGGCTCTTTCTCTGTATTAAATGCACATGCTGCATCCATCAGAGCATTTCTTATAAACAAAGATGCTCTATTGAAGCAGTTTAGCCTAAAGCAAAAATGCCAAGAAGT